ATGAAATTCCGCCAGACAAATACGATGGTTCGCCCTGGCAAGGGACTCCACTGCAGGAGGCGGCGAAGGAGGGAGCTATTGAAGCCGTTCAGTTCCTTCTGGATCATGGTGCGGATCCAACGTTGAAGGATACTCATGGAAAGACTGCACTCGAGCTTTCACAGGCCAGTGGCCATCTGTTGATAGTCGAGATTTTAGAAGGAAGAGGTCTTGATACAACAACAGATAAATTGCATGACTAGTATGAAATATCTAGTCATACTAGTAGCATGCCAATTTCTACCTATGATTGCTCTCGGCTTTGCTCGTGGATGAATTTTTTTTCAACGCATTTGAGGCATGTTTCCCCTCCCCTACAATGCTCGGTCAATCATGCGCCAATGATACTACAATACAAGAAAACGTACGGGCCTGCGAATCCACAACATGCTGATCCGATGAGACTGTGCGAGTGCGTGTAAGCGGGCCGAGCTCCTTGCCAGCTATTACATGGCAAAGAGTCAATTTTTCCATCAATTGTAACAGAAGTTCCAACTTACTTTTCAAGTCTAGAAGTACAGCGTAATCCTTCGTTGACTTTTCTGGCACAACCTTGAGAACGTGGGTTACCTTTCCATTGGCTGCGAGTGTTGGCCACTCGATGCGGTCCCATACTGTCCCCGGATGGCGCACGGTATTTTCTGGTAGTAGAACATGGACCTCTCCCTCTGCAAGCTGTGCGAAAGCCTTCGATGCGTTGTCCCAGAATCTATCCAATTTTGGTTTATCCTTGAGAAAGCCGGTCAACCATGGCCCCGCCCATTTAAGATCTTTCTGGTCATTCGCATGATCCCACCATGCATTGGCAATGACGGTTCAACCCTCATGTGTTGAGCGTTCGAGTGCCTTGTTCTCGAAGTTGTCTGCTGAACGCCCGGACCAGAACAAAGCTTTATTTTTGGGAACCTTCATATGTTCCATGAATTGTTCAACGGTGGGTATTGTTGGGAAAACTGGCGACGAAGATATGTGTGAACCATGCTCATGTAACGATGCTTCAAGGGCTGCGGAATCAGGTGGGGGCGTCGACTGCTTTGAAGTCGTCGCAGCGCGATTGTTGACTGTGGTATGGCTGACTGCTCCTGCATGATTACTTGCCGTATGGTGAGCGCCACTCTTGGGAAGTGTGGCGCGGGGTACAAAACGATGCTTTGAGGACGGTATAATGTGTGCATTTTTGCACAAGGACGGTTCAAGGGAAGATGGATCACCAGGGAGAAATGGATTTGACTCGCATGGCAAGGACAGATCAATGTGGTAAGGGGGTTGCGTGCTAGTATTGTCGGAAATCTGGGACTCAGAAACTGGAAGGGGCGCTGCCACGGCGCACAGCGCAGTGAGGCAGACTACAAAGAAAAGAGGCGTGAAACGCATTGTACACGTAGATTCAGGTCTAGCCTAATAAATCTTGGTTAATAAATGCAAAAAATGAGGTTGAGCCACTCACGCAATAGTATTTTTTGAACTTGAAAATCAAAGGAAGGAAAACAACGAGACCAGCTCGTGATTAGCAGACCAGCTTGTGGTAGATTCATTGAATGCCAGCCCTTTTATGCAGAACACCTCCGCCTCTGACCGTTCTAGCACTGGACAATGTGTGCGCACTCTCAAATTCGGGGTACATAATTGTCGTTCAAGTGCGGCAATGATCGTTAATCACAGTAAGCCCTCCACATGTCCGATCGAGATATCACGAATTGAGGCCATCGTAGATTGATCATGACGGAGGCAACGTTTTTCCAGATCCTGGGGCTTGGTGCACCTCCTATGTGTAGTGTGGCGCCCATCTGTGTCGTTGCTATCTCTCACTTGGACCCACAAAATTGAAATATCTCACATGGTCTGATTAAATCCTGTAGTATCGGAAAGTTAGATAATACGTACCCTTCCTTGATAGCTGTATCTTTGCTATCAGAATACTTACAATAACAGCAGCAGGGTGAACACCACACTTTGGCGGGGGGTTGAAACTTGAATTGGAGTCAGTGCAATATCCTGAAGCTTTCTATCTATGGGTTCAATGTATGAAAGCGAGGAAGATGGAATCGCCTGGCATGACATGGGCGCGACGCAATTGACGACTGTGATCAGCATGCATATGCAATGACGATTGATCTGCAAGTTGAAGATGAAGGGAGATGAAGGGTATTGATCCGAATCCGGATCCAAATATTGTCAGTAACTGTCACGCGTGACATTTTTGTGCCACCTTGGCCAAACGCTCCTGCTATACGTCGCCATGTCCTCATCGCTACCAACTTTTTCCTTATCACACCCACAGATGGATTACTCGGGTCTGAACTTCGAAGTTAGGAGTAACACATCATTGGGTCAAGATTCCTTGTTTGAACCAGCCATGTCCTCTTACCACCTCCGAACAACACCGTCCTTGTAGCAACTTGCACTCTATCCCTATCATTTGTGGTTCTCCTTTCGTCTTGACAAGTCAACGTGCTAGGCGTCTGTCAACCGTTGTGCGCTGCCACTCCAAGTCCACCAAGCTTTCCTCAAATTTGATTGCTGGATTATCAACACTTTGTGAACATTTTGGCAGCACCCCACTCTCTGGCCACCAGAGTGGACCTAATGTTGGCAGCCGACATGTAGCGACGCCTCCCTTTTTGCAGCAAATCTGCTCTTTAGATGCAGTTGTTGGTCTCGGGAAATCTCGAGACTAAATCTAAATCCTCATGCGTACCTCTATCCTACTTCGACGTCCGACTACCCAGCGCTGTTCGTCGACTTGCGTAGTCAAGGGGCGGTGTTTTTCTCCGACGACTTCCCGCATTACAAGCGCATGGGGGCGTTTCCCGATCTTTTTGGTACCCAGAAGCTCAAGACGGCCTTGAACGGCCCCACTGCACGAGAGTTTCAATTCTGGTTCCAATGCAATTCAGAGTACCTATTTACCTCTCTCTCTCTCTCATCATCTTTGCCTTCTATTGATCATCTTTCGGACTCTGAGACATCTACATAGATCATGTGGTGGTCCTCCTCGCCCTTCGGATTCTCAAAATCAAGAACAGCTCGATATCGTCATGTCTACATCTCCGAGGTGGATGGTTGCTCTTGCGATACCACCTTGGTGAATGGCTACCGGTACCGTCTCATGATCAAACTATGTCAACCTCGATAGGCACTGAATACGTCAGCTAGATACCAATGTGTGTGCACAACAAAGCTGGCCTAGTTGCGTGTCTCCTCGGCTTGTCTGTGTCCATCTTGGCACTGAACGCCTATGATAATCATAGTTATCGACTCCGTACGCGTAGCATCTATTGCGATCTTGGACCGATGTGCGAGGCCTAGTTATGTTCAGATTCAACCCTAGAAATCATCTGCGGAGGACTTCGCTCCGTATTGAGCAGGCAATGTTATGTTGTGCACAATATTAATGACTCTCTGCTACGTCTACAACCGCTATATAAGGGCATCGCTTCAGGGTACTTAAGGCTTTTCTTGTGTTGCCTGAAATTAGACGCGCGCTTATGGCTGATGATTAGGAAGAGTTGGAAGGATGTGATTTTTTCTTTTTCACCTACAATGCTTTACATATCCGCTTTAGGCAAGTACGCGCACAGCCTTGCACAGCATAACGGGACCCATTGCTACATCCATTCCCACGAGTTCTGAGAGAACTAGGTTGAATTCTACCTTCATTCTCCTCTCTTACCTTCTTTCTATCGCTGGCGGTCATGTTTCTCACCCGAAATCATTTCTGAACTTATTAATGCTTTATTTCTTTAGCTTGCAGCCATCGTCCTATGGGCCTGGTATGGCAGCTGGAACAATTTCTGTCTATGAATGACCCATCGGTCCGTAGTATGGCCAAAAATCGCGTTATGTGGACTCGTCATCCCCTCAACACCTTAGAAAACATGCCCGACTGCCAGTTACGCGTGACAGACGCGTCATGTTCCAATTATGATCGCGAAAACATGATCGCTGCACTATTTCAAGGGTTTTGTTCAGTGTATATTGGTCTTTATTGAATTCCACTCATTTCTCTTCACCATCGCTCATGTTCGTCGGGGCTCTACCGACATACACGGAGGTCATCACGTGGAGGGCGCTCTCCCACTCAATACGCCTCGTGCTCCTCGACGAACTCAACGTCGTGCATTTTAGTGCCTTTTCATTATTTGACCCGACTTCAGACATTCTCAGAACTAGGTAACCAGCCTATTTAACCGATTCTCGCCATGGCGAGTCAGAGCAGACGAGCAAAAAAAGGTGAGGTATCTGTGGTTAGCGACCACTATGAAGACTGAAGTATGTCATCCATCTTCTTCTCGGTGTCAGAGGATCTTCAGCAGATCTTGGAACATGGGATTATGGAGTCTGAGCCGCTTGTGGAAACAAGGAACGCTCAAGATGTCCCTCAGACCAACAAGCGCCCAAAGTGCGTATGCCATTAACGTTCGCCGCCTTCTCTAGATTTATTTTTCAATGGCAGAGGCTTCATTGGGTGGCTGAAGCGTTTGAAAGAGGCATTGTCCCTCAAAAAGAGCCATCGTTCAGAAGCAAAGAAGGTTTGCACACACTTTCACTCCCTCTTCTGGCCCCCCCAATGTCTTATCGTGTGATTCAGGTGAAGCAAGTCCGTCGGTCTGGCAAGGGGGTTTATACCTTCCTTTATGGAGGCCGTGTCAACACGAACCATTTTTATGACTTCGATGACCATACGGAACCTTGAGTGGGGATACCTTGGATCCATGCATGTAACAGACTATTACCCTCTCAGTTTACGGACATTTTTCTGTACATATATTCGTGTGCTTGTAACTTTCGTGAGGCCTTTTGTATGGATTCAACTGTAATCATATTGTTTTCCGACATTTTTACCATATTTATGATTTCGAGGAAAAATGAAGTGTAACGGTTACATTTCGTGAGTTGTCTAAGCCCACCTTAGGCTCCAGATGGGATGGAAAAAGACACTGATGGAATCGATTGTATAATGATGAGAGGGAGATTCGAACTCCCGCCCCCGAAGAGACCAGATGACTGACAAGTCCTTAGTCTGGCGCCTTAGACCGCTCGGCCATCTCACCATGTACTGGGGAGGATGGATAATACTCCCGGTCCGAGCTTGGCGAGCACCTCTAATAAGGAGGCCTGAGGATACAATGCATGCTTCGGGGGGGCCGGATAAGGGGTCTTTCCAGCTCCAGCAATCCAGCTATGAACAATAGTCAGGAATGTCCATAGAGCTGAGGTCTGTCGTTCTTATTGATGAATCAAGGTAATCATTGAACGGCGAGCCAATGATATATCGATAAGACCGTCGACGCGTCGTCTTCGTATTTCCCTGCCAGCCTGTAACCGAAGCTTGGGACGCTGATTCATTACTAGTTCATGCATCCAGCTGGCCTCATGCACTCGCTGGGATTGTATTTCTGATAGATTCTTACTAGCATACGTCAGTGGTTTCTACCTAAATATTGTTTGATACTTCTCTAGTAAAACTGGTATCTTGTATGGCTGCTATGTGGTCCGTCGTACTGAGGATCAAGCAACACAGGTGCGTACTTGACCAGTGAAGGAGTGGGAGGAGTGACTCGGAGGTACAGGGGGTGAAGACTTGGTCGAAATATGATGTCATTCAGAGTTCAATGTACATTTTTTCGAGCATTTCCCAATCATGACCAGGCAAAATACATTTTTCTGGCCCAACTCCTTTTGCCCACATACCTTCCACCTGTGATATCGAACCCGGGTATCTTCCATAATGTTTCGGCGCTTGCTGCGGCTCCTTCCTCAACTTTTGTAAGGCCTGTTCAATTTGATCTTTGAATTGCTGAGGAATGCCAACTGGTTCCTCCCCGATATCGTATTGGCCACACCAGTTGAAGTCGATCAATTGAACCTTGTCCTCGCGGAAGAGCAGATTTGGCAAACGTAGATCACCAAAGACATACCCCGCCGAATGCAGCTCTATCAGAATTTTCGCGATCTGGTCCTTTGCATCTGCTGGTGCTTGAGGTTTCGATTCGAGATAGTCCATGACAACCATTTGGTTAGAGCACATGCCTGGAGCTCGGGTGTGCAGCAGCGGACCATAATAACGCAAACGGGGAGCAAGATCTCGAGATGCCAAATATCGATGAACCGCGTGACCATATCGTGATACAAATTTGACGACGATCTTCTCGCTGGGTTGGAGCTCGTTTACAGTTTCCGCTAAGAAAGTGACACACGGTCTACTATCCTCCAAAGGCCTTTGATAATTGAACTCGATTGAGCGACCATTCTCGTCTTTGTAGAAGCGCGGGTAGGGGAAAAATCGCGGATGAGATCGGTTGGGAAGTAGTGGAGGTATGTCGGCACGGCGAAGATCGAGATAGTACTGTCTAAGCTCTGCCACACATGTGCGAAGAGCAACAAATATCCTAGCGAGGTCCTCGACGCGTTGATCCTCTTCTGTAGATGAAAGGGCTGCCCACTTGAGGTCGGTGAGACGCTGGACAATGGGCCTGTCGGTGAAAACACCCCCCATGATACATATCCAAGACCCAGGAGCTGCGAGAAGGAACGTTGGACAACAACACTTGCTGCGCACCAGCTTTCTCTATGCAATGTTAAGATACTGGTCAAAAAATCACGCGAAGTTACTTACTGAGTGACCTCTGAGATAATGCCTCATTAGGATGCCTGCCTCCGTTGTAGGATCACCCCCAGAGCCGAGAGATGCCTTCCACTCCGCGAGGACAACATCGAATTCGTCAACGACTAAGGTTGCATCCGTTTGTAAAGAGTTATTATCATGCGTAGCTGCTCGGAGGGTATGGCCC